ACAGCAAACAGTATTCCCAAAGAACTCCCATTAGCTACATCTTTTCCCTGCGTGCTGGCTTCTGGTGCCAGAGCGCCCCTCTCTGGCTGCCCCGTGTGGAGTCAGCCTCTGCCCCGCTCTTGGCCCCAACCCTCCTGTTCTCCCCTGTGGAGCAAATCGGTTCTTTTCCAGCTCCCCAAACTAATTCTCGGTGGAACTGAGAGAGGGAGAGGATGGTAGATGGAAGACTTCTTACCGACAGGCGTGCGTGTTTGCTAAAAGATTTTGTTACACACACAGAACTTTTGGTTTGGGTTTAAAAATAAAAGAATGAATTTTATTCTTTGTCAACAAACCGGAATCTGCAGCATTTTAAATGTTTCATAAAATGTCACAGCATGGCTGTACCATAATAAAAATTATTTTTCAACTTTTCAGTATAATAAACAATGGAGAAACAAGCACCCTTATACATAAAATGATGCCCTTATTCTAATTTTTTGGACGAATTCCTAGCTGGAATAGCTGTGTCCAAGTTTATATACGGACGTATATCCATACATACACACGTACGTAGGAGTGCGACCACGTGCACACACAGCTGCTGGTAGGTATTGCCAGTTCGTACTCACCACATGCCTACACCAGGAGATGCTCTTTTGTCTTCCCCAGATTGACAGTTGATACCTCATTATATTTCAACTTTGATTTGTTTATTAGTGTTGCTGAATTTTTTTCCTATGTTAAACCCAAGGCAAGCAGAGGAAGAAAATAATAAAGAATAAAAATCAATGAAATTTAAAGCAGGAAAAAAATAGTAAAAAATGAATGAAACCCAAATCTGATTCTTTGAAATGACTAATAAAATTGTAAACATCTGGCTAAAATGCTCAAGAAAAACAAAATAAATTATTAAAAAAAAATAATGATACAGGGAATAAAAGAGGGGACATATTATGGATTCTACAGACATTAGAAGAAGAATAAGAGAATATTACGAACAATGTTATGCCCATAAATTTGAAAACTTACATGAACACATTTCTTGAAAGATATAAACTACCCAAGCTCACTCAAGAAGAAATAGATAACCTCAATAGTCCTATATCCATTAAGGAAATTGAATTCATAATTTAAAAATTTCAATCAAAGGACAATCCATGCCCAGCTGGCTGCACTGGTGAATTCTACCAAACACTTAAGGAGGAAATAATATCAACGCTACACAAACTCTTCTGGAAAATAGAAGAGAAGGGCATACTTATGAACTCATTTTATGAGGTCAGCATTACCCTGATACCAAAACCACGCAAAGACATTGCAAGAAAATAGAACTACAGACCAATATCCTTCATCAACTTACATACTAATATCCTCAATAATGTTTTACCGAATTCAGTCCAACAATATGCAAAAAGAATAATACATCTTGACCAATTGATACTTATCTTGGGAACACAAAGTTGGTTCAACATTCAAAAACCAATCAATGCGATTCATTATATTAACTAACGAGAGAAAAACCACGTTATCTCTGTAGAGGTGGAGAAAGCATTTGACAAAAGCCAACATCCATACTTGATGGCCAAAGAATGAATGCTTAACCTTTAGGATTTGGGTTTCATGTTCTCCTATGAACAAATATAAATATTACATGATTAACAACATATTGTGAGGCGGTGGTGGTTCAGTGGTGGGATTCTCACCTTGCATGCAGGAGACCTGGGTTCGATTCCCAACCAATGCAGCTGTCTGTCAGTGGAGGCTTGTGTGTTGCTGTGATGCTGAGCAGGTGTCAGCAGAGCTTCCAGACTAAGACAAACTAGGAAGAAATGTCTGGCGATCTACTTCTGAAAATCAGCCAATGAAAACCCTATAGATCACAACGGTCTGATCCCCAACCAATCATGGGAATGACACAGGACTGCGCATCCCACAACAACAGGCCCGAGAGCCCCAGGGGGAGGGGGACAGGGGAAGGGGCTGTGGGCACAGAGGGCAGACAAGGCCTCTGTTCACAAACACCTGGCACACCTGGCCCTCTTGAGCTCCCCCCCTCCAGCCTAACTGATGTTCTGGTTTCAGAGGAGCCAATGTCAGTGGGAAATCCCCACCCTTGGAACTAGAACCCTCGAGCCCTCTCTGAAGGTCCTCCCACTCCCACCCCCAGCACGGTGCCCTGGCCCCCAGCCAGGAAGCCCATTCTCTCTGTCTGTCACAAAGGCACCAAAGTAAGGTGGGAACCAGACAGGACAGAGGAGTTGAATGGAGGTACGCGTTGTCATCCATGCACCCACCTTTCCCATACATCAAAACAGAGACAACATAAGGGGACAAAGGTAGAAATTCTGCGAGGCAAAGGAAAGAGTCAGGAATTAATAACAAGTCCAGAGTAAGAAGTCCCTGGACATAAATTATATCCCGCCAGCCTCACCTTTCTGGAGTACCCCCAGAAGCCTTGATGGCAGGCGGCAGGGGTGTGGAGGCGAGCTGGGCCAGTTCCACAAGCACTCAGCTCACTGTGGCCCTGGGGAGTAGGGGCCCCGCTACCCACCCTGCGCCCACCCTCCCGTTCCCTGGAGCCTGCTGCGGCTCGTGGCTGAGAGACCCCAAGACCCCAGGAATCCCGGGCGGGGGTCCCATGTCCTGGCTCTCTGGTGGAGAGGCCCCTTGCGCTCCGGCCTGGGATACAAGGTGTGGAAGCTGCGGGAGAAGGCGCTGAGTCTACTCGCCCTCTCCTGGGGGTTGCTAGGCAGCGCCCAGGGAGGAACGTGGAGTGTACTCGCTGGCGGGACCCTCCCAGATGCCCCATGCGAGTAGCCCCGAGGAGCTGGACCCGGTTTTGGGAAGGGCAAGGGAATCGAAGAAGCCTAATCGCCCTCCGTGGTCAGGCCTGTGCCCATGAGGTCACTCCGGCAGTACCCCCAGCTGACAGGTGGGAAAACTGAGGCTCAGAGAGGGTTACTAACGTGCCAAGGGCGCAGGGATGTGGGACCTCGGGGTGGGAGCGCCTGCCCTGCCCCCAGGGCACAGCACCTTCCTTGCAGGCACCTAAGGAAGGTTTTGGGTGGTCAGCTGGTGCTGGCTCCCTGGAGACTCTTCAGGCCCGCGCCTGGGCCACAGCCAGGGCAGGAAATGGAGGGAGGCGTGGCGTGTGAAGCCCTTTCAGTTTCTTTTCTGCTGCGTTTCTGAGAAATGCCCCGGCCAGGTCACCTGGGGCGGGGACAGGACCTGGAAATCCCTGGATGAGGGAGCTCTGGAGAAGAAGCGCCCTCCCCCTGCCTCTGTCCCCATTCTTGCTCCCCCTCCAGGTGTCCCGCCCCACTGTCAGGAGTGGGCTCCCGCGGCGCACCCTGCTGTCTGAGCGGAGCCGGCAGGGTCCCTGCAGCAGGAGACAAAGGGCCACGACCTTGGCCTGAAGGACTCACTGGCGCTTTCGAGGGAAAGAAACGGTGCTGGTCACAAGGACAGTCCAACCAGACACCGGCTGGTAATCACCAAGGGCGAGAAGCCTCCTCGAGAACGCCGGCGCTGCCGTTCACTCCTGCTGGCTCACGTCCCGGCCGCCCCGCTGGGGTTGGTGCTGCCAGGTGAACAGCTCCCTCCCACCAGAGCAGACCCTGGCCCCCTGGATTAGCTGAGCTAGCCGTCACCTGACCCTGACACATCTTACAAGTGGGGAGACTGAAACTCGGGGCGATTCGAGGCAATGGCCAGCGTCATCCCACAGCCAGCGAGGACACCACCCACCCGGAAGCCCCCTTCAGAGCAGCCGGGGGCGGGGCGGGGGGCAGCCCCAAGCGGCAGGACGAGCTCCGCCCTTCTCGGGCGCACCTCTTCGCCCTTGGTTTGCCCACCTTTGCAATGGGCAGAGGGACCAGGCTGACGCCTTTCTGCGCGCCTGCGCCGGCCTCCGGCTTCGGAGCGGAGGGGCTGAGCCCTGGGAGCCACCGTGGTGACCCTCTCTGGAGCCTGGAGCTGTGTAGGGAGCTGGGGGCGTGGTCACAGGTCTGGGCGGACACTGGGGCGAGGCTTCGGGGGGCTGGCCTACGGGGTGGGGCGGACTCTCGGCGCCGGGGACCAGGGCCCCGGGCTGGAGCGCGTGCTGCCGTTGGACCCACAGGTCTTGTTCCCTGGCTCCGGGCCGCCAAAGGGCCGGCTGCAGTGTAGACACCGGCGCGCCCACGATGAGCTTCAGCAAAGGCGATTTCGACAGCGAGCCTCCGCTTAAGTTTGTGGAGGGCAAAGACGAGATAACCGGTGAGTGCGGGGCGCTGTGTGTGCGCCGGGCGCTCTGCGTGGGTCACCGAGGCCAGGGCGGAGTCGGGACTTCTTTTCGGATCCCGAATGTGACTTCGGAGGAAATCCACTCCCCACACAAGTTCTTAAACATGAAAACCAGTCCTGCCGTCTGACAGCTCCCTGTCACGGCGGACATCTTGACACAGTTGCCCACCCTGGCCGGGCAAAGGACTGGGGCAGGAACGTGGCGGTTTCTGGAACTTGCGCCAGGAAGAGGGAGGAGGGAGAAGGGGTCAGTGAAGTGTGGGGGTTGCGGGGCGACTCTGGAAGGGACGCTGTGCTGCCCCTGAGGGCAGGCGGTGGTGTCACTCTGCTTGGGGTGGGGGGAGGGCTGCAGGAATCCAGGGGACAGAAGGCGGCTCTGGACAGGGGTGGGAAGGAGGGAGAGGAGCCCTAGGGGACCCCAAAGGTTCAGACCCGAGCCTTGATGGCAAGGGAAGACGGAAGGAAGGACTGCTGGCCACCCTCACAGGGGGTCATGTGACCTTGTTCTCTCCTGGTGAGGTGGCTGCCTGGACTGGAGGACAGGGACACCCTATGAGGGGTCAGCTCCACAGCCCACCGCAGTGAGGGGGTGGGTTGGTGCAGGGGCCCTGTGACGCGGGTGGGGTGGCCTACAGCCTGGGCTGGGTCTCCATGCTGGGTGGCAAGAGGTCAGGGATCCATCATCCCCTCGGACATCTGTGCCCCTGCAGTGACCAGCCAGGGAAGCCATCACAGGAACAGGCTGGCCGATGAAGCAGGGTGGGGGGCAAAAAGGCACAGGACCCACTCTGCGATGGGAGCAGCTTCCCAGAGGGGCACAGGGTCCCAACCTGTAAAGGTGACATTGCTCAGTTGGACAAGGGGCTCTCCCTCCGAGGACCTCAGTTTTCTCATCTGTCCGGTGGAGATAAGACTGTGTGTTTGGGCGGAGAAGAGAGTTTTGGGGGGAGAGGAGAGAGTGAGGACAAAGGGCTGACGTGCTGTTGCTCCCCGACTGCTCCAGAGACACGTGCAGTCTGGGCGGTGGGCACTGCAGCCCTTACGTGCCCTTTGTCCCTGACAGGGGACGAGTATGACGGCCTGCAGCGGGTGGAGATGAGCTGTGGCCACGCCGTGGACCAGGGGAGCCTGACGGCCTGGTGCCGAAGCCTGATGGACCAGGTGGGGTGGGCACCGCAGCCACGGCCACCACGAGGGGAGGGGGAGTCTCTTATTCCACATCGGAAAGGGGGGCAAAGCTCCTGTCTCCTTCGAGGGAAGCAGGTTCTAGCTCCACCGGGCCAGGGAAGCAGCACCCCAGGGTCCAGTCCAGGTACTCTATCTCTGTCCTCATTAGAGAGGGTGCTGGGGGGTCCCTGGGAGAACCTGCTCGGGGCCACAGTGCAGACTCATGGTGTGGCCCCCACAGCACCCCCAAGGGGAGGAGGGTGGCTGCGGGCGGGGCCTGATGGGGATGCACTAACAGGGGCTTGGGCGGCCACGTAGTGACGGGACGAGGGTGGACGGGACTGGGGGCCAGGGCTGGCAGGCTAGGGACTGCAACTCTCAGCCTCGGTGCCATGGACAGCCAGCCCCTTGCCTGTCTTCCCAGGGCTACTTCAAGCTGTGCTGCCCGGCTGACGTCAATGGGGAGAAGTGCGGGGCCCAGTGGTCCTACCCCGAGGTGCGCCGCTGTGCCGTGCTGAGCAACGAAGAGCAGCACCAATTTGAGCAGAAACTGGCCCTGTTGGCCGCAAGACTCTACTGTGACTTTAAAGAGGTGGGTGGGGCTGCCCAGGAGGGGGTCCCAGACCACAGGTCCTGCCCTGGCCGCAGGGTAGCTTCCCAGCTCTGGGACGCGGGTCCTGGGGGAGGGGACCTTGGCTTCCTGCCGTCCCCTCACTATGCTGAGCTGGGCTGGATGCCTTGTCCCGCTGGTCATCATGAGTGCCCACTGCCCTCTGTCCCTCCCGCAGTGCCCGAGGTGCAAAAGCCTGGTCGAGAGGAAGGAGTTGAGCACTGTCCGTGTGCTCTGCACCATCTGTACCTCCACGCTGGGGGCTGGCTATGAGTTCTGCTGGCAGTGCCTGCAGTCCTGGAAGGGGACAGGAACCCCCCCGGACCACTGTGCCAACGTGGGTTGCCAGGACCCGAACCTGGAAGTCCTGGCCTCCTGTGCCACCAAGGACCTCCCAGGCAGTGAGATCCTGGCTTGCCCTTCGATCCGGGCCTGCCCCACGTGCGGGCTGCTCATTGAGCACAAGGAGAAGTGCAAGTATGTCATGTGCTCGCGGTGCCACGTGGAGTTCTGCTTCGCCTGCCTGGAGCTCGCTCAGGCCTGCCAGGCCACCAGAGCGGGCGCCTGGTTCAAGTGTTGTGCCAAGCCCCTGGCCCCGCGGCAAACCCACATCCCTGTGTGGAGCCGAACAGGTGGTGGGTACGGAGGTGATGAGGTCAACACTGGTCATAGGGTTCAAAGCCACATTCCACCACTGAGAGAAGTAAGAATGAGAGAGGCTGAGCAGACATGTATGATTATTTGAGTGGCGATAGATGATACATAGATGCATAGACACACAGACAGACAGACAGATGACAGAGATATAGATGAAAGACTGATAGATGATAAAATAGATGATAGAGATATAAATAGATGGATGGACAGACAGACAGATACATAGATTCATAGATAGATACATAGATACATAGATTCATAGATAGATATGTAAATACATAGGTGACAGAGGATAGAGATATAAATGGATGGATGGATGGATAGATGATGGATAGATACATAGATAAAGAGGCAGATAGGTGATAGGTGACAGATGATAGAGATATAAATAGTTGGATGGCCGGATGATGGATAAATGACAAGGAGAGATAGATAGATGATAGGTAAATAGATAAATAGGTACAGATAGATGATAGAGATAGAGCTAGATAGCTCGATGACAGGTCAATAGATAGAAATTATATGCAGATGCATAGAAACGTACTAGGACTGACCCCAGACCCAGGTGCAGGTAAATAAACCTAGTCACATGATCTCGTGTTGGTGCTGAGACCCGTGTGAGCTCACCTAGGTACCATCACCTACAGGAGGGGGCAGCAGGTGAGAAGGGGTCCCAGTGCAGTGACACTCTTGGCTCGGAAACTTTTCCTGGGCTCTTGCTCCTGAAGCTGCTTCAGGTGGGACCCCAGGGCCTGGAGGGGGAGGGCTGAGCCTGGAGGAGGGGATGGCCAGTGAAGCGGGGGCAGGAGCAGAGCCCAGAGCTGGGCAGTGCGTGGCCTCCCCAGTCTCCGCGTCCTCACAGCTGCATGATCAGGTCCAGACTCTGGGGCTGCTGCCGGGCCTCCCACATGCTCAGCCCCTGACCTGCTTGTCCCACAGCCCCAAGGTGTCATGTCCTGCACCTGCCTCTCGGGGCCCCCCCGCCCCCGCCCCCCATCTCTCACCAGAATTAATTCCATGTCCTTGTGGCTCGTCTGGGCACAGTCAGATGTCCCCATGTCAGGAACTCCTCTTGGTCCTGGCTCAGGGCCCTGCGGTCTGGAAGCTCCTGGACTGGGGCAGGGGAGGTGGGTGCTGGTGGCCGGACTGGACCCAAGCAAGCAGCTCTGGGGCAAAGCCAGGGTCTGTCTGCCGTGACGTCTCTCTGGGGTGAAGGATACTTTGTGGGGAGCCCTGCCCTGCTCACCTGGTGAGGATGGACTCAGCTGGGCCAGTGCCCAGCACCCAACCCCGTGGGGTGATGTCCATCTCCTCTGCTTCCTGCATGTGGTGTCTGTGGACCCCAGCTGGAGTTAGGTGATGGACTGGATGGAGGACCCTCTGCCCAGGACAGGGCACTGAGCTCTGGGTGGCTACGAACCACCCCTAAGGCCTGGCTGGCCAAGAAGTGAGGGCCCCCAGCCTCTAGAACCGAGGCCCTGGCCTGGACAGGAGACCCCTAGACAGCTCTGACGGGACCCTGGCTCTGCCCCCCTTGGGTGGCCATGATGACACTCTTCCACCCCGCCCTTGTTCCTCCTGGGGACCTTCTTCCTGGCAGCCCAGCCCCCACATCCGGAGAGCCTTCTCAGAAACTCCAGAGCAGGAGAAACAAAACTAAAACCAAGGGCCAGCTGCTGTCCTGGGGTGGGGGGTGGGGGGCAGGCCACTCCCACAGGGCAGCAAGCAACTGCCACGGGGGGGTGGGTCCTGAGCGGGCTGAAGCCCCCTAGAGCCCGCCCCACCTCCGCCCCTGCAGGCCCCGTTCATCCTGTGCCCCCCCTGTAGATCACGCAGTCCTAAGTGGGGGTCCAGACATTGTCCTTCAGTGCACCCCTCCCCCCACAGGCCCCCCACCGTGGGGACCGGAAAAAACACAGCCCTGTCCTCAGCTCTCACCCTCCCTGTCATCCTGTCATCTCTGAGGAGCCCTTGGGGTGGGGGGAGAAAGGGCTGAGCCGGGCTCCTCAGCCGGGTGCCCCCTTCCCACCTGGGCCTAATCGGGTGGGGCTCCTTCAGGGCCCTCAGTGTGGGGGTGCCTTTGTCATAATAAAATCCTTTAATCCCAGCTCCCCTCCCTACTTCCTGTTCCTGCCACCCCTGAGCTTCCTGGCATTGTGTGTGTGTGTGTGTGTGTGTGTGTGTGTGTGTGTGTGTGCATGTGTGGGTGAGTGTGCCTGTGTATGTGTGCGTGTGTGTGAGCACGTGTGTGAGTGTGCTGTGTGTCGGTGCTGTGTGTGTACATGCGCATGTTTGTAGGTGTGTGCTCATGCCAGGTGTGCATAGATATGTGCATGTGTGAGTGTACGTGTGTGTAGGTGTGTGACTGTGTGCCTTTGTCTGTTTCTGTGTATCTGCATGTGTGTCTGTGTGTGCCTGTGTGTATGTGTTTATATATGTGTGTTCATGCCGTGTGAGCATATGCATACTCACATGTGTGCATGCACGTGCGTATGTATGCCTGTGTGTGCACATGTGTTTCTGGGAGTCGGGGGGACGGGAAGACGTGGTGTCGTCTTTGGTTCCACCAAGGACAGAGCCTGTGACAAGTCCTGTGTTTGGAGGTGATCTCTGGAAGCAGGATCGCAGGCTCACAGGTGACGAAGGGAGGAAACCCCATGAAAAGTGGTATGGGGTGATTCTGGGGGACCCTGAGAGAGACAGGGACGCCCAGAAGGCAGGCTCATGTCCTGCAGCTCCCACCTATGGGTGACAGCACCTGTTGGGGGGTAGCTCCCTCCCTTTTGGGGGTATTAGGGGGCAGGGATGAGTAGGCTCCATGCGAGTCTGAGCTCGTGTGGAATGTCCACTGTCTGGGAGGCTGTGGCCGGAATCAAGATGGCCCCAGAGATTTGACAGTGACGCCCTGAAGTCTGCTGTGGGGGAGGGGAGGTGCTGAGCACAGGGAGCTTCCTGCCAAGATGGCTTCCTGGGAGCACATCTGGGGTCTCAGCAGTGAGCAGGGTCTTCTCTGCATCCACCTCCAGCTCTATGTCCAGACCCGCTCCAAAAGGAGGTAGATCAGGCGGGCACAGTCCCCCCTGCCATCCGCATCACCCTGGCACACACGGGCTCACACCCAGGGGTGGGCTGACTTGGGCAGCAAAGGCACAGAAGCTCAACCCAGACCAGTGCGGACCCCCCACTCATCCAGGAACACACAAACACACAGGGATGGACACACGGGGACAGACATACAGACACACAGGGACCCACAGGGACGGGCACATAGACACACAGACACGGACACACAGACACACAGGGACAGACACACAGACACACAGGGACGGACACAGACACACATGAACAGATACACAGACATACCACCCCCCGCAGGTTTCCCGGAAGGACCGCCCAGGGAAAGTGAAAGAACAGCGAGGGCAGCCTCAGCCCCGCCCTGCAGCCTGCTCACAGCCCAGCCCCAGACCAGGAGCCGCTTCTCCCTGCCCCAGAGCAGCCTCAATTCCTGCCAGTCCGTCTGTCCCTGGGTCCTTCCATTGGTCCTGGGGAGAGATGCTCTTCCAGGTGGTGGTATGCGGCCTCAGAGGAAGGGAGACAGTGGTGGACGTGGCCACCTCTGAGGACACATTCAAGCAGACCACGGTACAGCAGCTGATGCTACTGGTGTCGAAGAAAATGCTCCAGAATGGTGAGCGGGGAGGGCGTTCGGGTAGCTTGGGGAGGGGTCCTGGGGCCCCGGGAGCTCCCCGTGAGGGTGGAGGAGGGCAGCTCCTGGTCTGCAGCCAGGGCCGCGGCTGGACCTGGGGCCTCTGGGGGTGGGGAGTGCTTCACCCCTAGGTCCCCTCATTCTGGGTCTGCAGCCTGCAGAACGGGGACTCCCTGGGGCAGGAGGTTCCTTCATGGGTCTGTCCTGGGGCTGTCTGTCCCATCCGGAGCAGGGGTAGGGGTGTAGCGCAGCCCAGCCCTCCCTGGGTGTTCCTGCCTGGGCAAGAGGCCCCATCCCTGGGGACATAGGGACATAGCTCCTGTAACCCTGCCGGACACAGCCTTTCTCCCTGGCTCCTTTCCTCCACTGCCCTCTCTGCCCTCAAAGAACGGCAGGGTGTGGCATGGCCATATGCAGTGAGGGGTGCAGGCTGCAGGGGGGCTGTGAGATGCCCCAAGGAAGGCCTGGGGGGCCCAGGACCCCAGAAAGCCTGTGACCCCTCAACTCTATGCTTGGCCTTCCCCCTCCCCCTCCCCCCAGTAAGCAGCCCCTTTCCAGGATTTGGGGACCCAGGCTGACTCCCCTCCGTTCTGCTCCAGAGTCTGAGGACTTTACCCTGTTGTTTGCGAATGAGCGTCTGGACCCAGTGAAGACGCTGCAGGACTACGCCATCCGAAACAAGTCCTCCCTCCTCATTGTCGTGAAGCTGCCGGGCGGGGCCTGAGATGCGGGGACTCAGCCCCTCCCTCTCCGGGGACTCAGCCCCTCCCTCTCCGGGGACTCAGCCCCTCCCTCTCCGGCGTCCAGACAGGGCTGGGCAATAAATGGTCCCTGAGTCACACCTGGCTGAGACCCTTTGTGTGGAGAGGGTGGGGGGGCTCAAGTCTAGCATATGGTGGGGCCTGGTGGGGGGGAACCAGCATGGTCTTGCTGGGTGGGCTGCACGCTCTCAGCCCGCTTGCTGCCCCCTCGCTGCCCCATCACAGCCCAGCAGTGCCCCCAATGCAGTGTGGTCTGGGGACCCGCCACAGGCCCCCCAGGTTCTGGGTCTGAAGTCCAGGGGGACAGGAAGGGATTCTGTCCTCGGCACCGTCTCAGCTGGGATCTTTGGCCTCTGGCTGTCCAGGACACTCAGAGCCGCCTTTAAGCAAACCAGGCCCCTCCTGACATAGGCAGGTGGCCTCCCCCGGCGCTCTGCTGGGTGGTGGGCAGAAACAGAGTGGGTTCCTGCTGACCCCCAACAGTGCTCGCATCCCGTGTAAAGCGCCCGAGCCCCTGTGCCCCTGTCCTGGCTCTCCCCAGAGGGGAAAGCGGAGTCTGCACCCCTGAGGTCTACTGTGAGCAGGGGGTGGGCCTGCTGGGGTGTCAGCAAGAGGGTGAGCAGCACGCCTTGGAATCTGTGAGCCAGGTGCAGGCGTCTCCCAGGGCCTGCGGCTTCCAGCTCCCCGTCCCACAGCCCCCCCCCACCCCAGTTTTCCCTGACCCCACTCTCCTCCTGCAGTGGGGGCAGGGCTCGCTGACGGAGCAGTGTGCCCTCACCCTGCCTGTGCATGGACTCAGAGCCGGTCCTTTGGGCAGGACTTGTATGACAGACAGAAAGACAGCAGACGGAGTTCTGCAGCCTCTCTCCCAGAGCCGTGCCAACCCTGGTGGAGGTATCCGAACACTGGGGGATCCCGGGTGTCCCCATCAGTGGTCACTGTGAGGCTGTCGGGCCTCAGAAACCAGGTCGAGATCGACCGAGTGGGTCACAGTGCTGGGCCCGTAAACGAAGCCTGGGTAATACGGGTCACCTGGGCGCAGCCAGGCCCCAAGGGTCACTGATCTCGAGGGATGTGGATGGCGTCCAGTCAGCTTCATGAAGCCCTGGGTGTGGAAGCAAGGTCTGTTTTTTTCCACGTGAGGGGCCAGCCCCGGGGTGGGCGCTGAGGGAAGGCCCAGGGGTGTGGGGGCAGGGTGGCCCCGCTACCATCCACTTGCTTTCCGCTGTAACCCCAGCCTTTGTAACAAGCTCAGACACTGAAAATAAGGCGTGGGTGGCTTCCTTCCAGAGCTGCTCCCTCCCGCGCCCCTCTGGGCTGGTTAGGTTTCCTTTCTCAGGCGGCTCATTTCCAGGACACCTTTCACAGTTCGCAAGCAGCTGCCAAAGTCTGTGTCCTGGGCAGGAGCCTGCCCCTCCCAGGACACCCCCTCCCATGATGCCCCCTCCTGGGACGTCCCTGCTCAGTTCTCAGCGGAGGACTCTGAGACCCTCTGCACTTCCGAGCCCCCTGTCCGGGCACTGCTCCCTAAGGGGGTCTCAGCTCTGGGCTCAGGCCCGGCCTTAGGTCCTGTCCTGCAGCAGCCTCCCAAGCTCAGGACACCAGGTGGCTGCTGCAGAGTCCCCACAGAGAGTTGTGGGCTTGCCCCCTCGACCCCCTGGAGATGAGGCTGGGGGACACCTGGCTCTGACCCCCTTCAGGGGCCCAGGGACCCTCTAACTCCCTCCTCCAGAGGGGAGTCCGTTCCCGCATTCACTGGGGCGGCCCAGACCTCGGGGCTCCCTACCACCCATTGGCATCGGTCTGGTTTCTGTCCCAGGGCCAGCGGCCAGATGACAGGAGCTCCCCCCACTGTGTGGGGCAGGAGCCCAGAGAGAGGCTCCCTTGGTTTGCTGGTTTTTTATTGGAAGAATCAAAGGAAAAGGGTCCCAGAGAGACAAGCTCGGGGGGGGAGGGGTTCCAGGAACAAAAGTGGGGCTTCCATTGAGTCTGTCCTGGGATGGTGACTGATGAACCCGTCACACCCCCAGCCGTGCCCCACATAGCTGCACAGAGCAGAGCGGAAGGTGGGGGACGGCTGACCTGGGCTGTGGCGGGCTGGCCTCGCCCCACCGCTCTCATGTCCTTCTGTGCCTGGACGCTGCGGACTCACACCCTGCAGCACAGAAGGCAGGCCTAGCCAGGATCCCCTGGGAACGTGCGGCCCCTGACGCGTGATCCCAAGTAGGAGGGCTCTTGGTCACCCCGCTGCCCTTGGACAAGCCTCCCCCCAGCCAGGGTCTGGGGGGGGGCGGGGAGGGGCGCTGGGAGGGGGTGTCTGGGGAAACCACAGAACTGAGACTTGACACTGGGGTCTTGCAGGCGCTGGGCCTGGCTGAGGCTCAGCGTGACTTGTTACTTTCTCTTTTGTATTTCTGTAGCATCTTTCTTCAGTGAATAGGTTATTACTTTCATAATCAGAAAAAACAATCAAACTCCTTGAACTGGGGACAGGCTCCAGGGAAGTCCCGAGCTCACCCTCGCAGCCTTCACAGCCATGCCCGCTCTGGATACCTGTGGCTGAGCTTCGGGGAGGCTGAGCCGGGCCCTGGGTGGCCCTGACTTCAGCTGCTCTCTACCACACGCTTGGACACAGGGCACTGTCAGCAGGGGTGGGTGCACAGGACACTCAGCAGTTTAGGGGCACCCAGGTCCAGGAGGGCCTGTCTCTCACGTGGTGGGGCCCAGCGATTCTCGACGGTACATCAGCAGGTAGGCAGTACTGTGGAAGCCACGAGAAAACAGTGTGGGCGTCATGGGCATTTGGTCAAAGGGCCAGGGGCATGTTGGGACGTGCAGGAAAGAGTTCTCAGCCCGAGGCTTGCTTGCCTTAAGTGTCGTCCCAAATGAGGGCACCCTGACATTAGAGGAGCAGCATCCGCGCCGTGGGGGTCCTCACCTGGGCAGACTTCCTGTTGCTGCATCTGTCTTGGGCTGGTCTCGTCCCAGCCTGATTCCCGCCACCCTCCCACCTCCACAGCTCAGAGGATCCTTCCTCCCGGGGCTGCTGTCACTCAGGCCTTGGCTCTGCACCTCTCAGACCCCGGCCTCCCCGACAAGGAACACCTCGGCCTTGGGCCGTGCCTCTCACATCCCAGACCCCGGCCTCCCCAGTAAGGAACACCTCGGCCTTGGGCCATGCCTCTCACTTCTCCCCACTGCCCCCAAAAACTGTCCTGGAACACAGGGCTGGACAGTACCTGCTCTCAGAAGGCCCTGGCTGGATCTGGAACAAAAGAGGAACAAGGGTTTGGTGAGAATGACTGGGGTTCACATCTCCTCTTGCCCCAAGAATTAAGGCCAGTTTTGAGGTTGGAAGAGCCCACCGAAGAGGCACTATTGAAGGTCTTTGCAGGAGAAGATGGTCCTTTCCTAGGTCAGACAGAGATTTGGGAGGGGGAAGGGCTTGGAGACCACCCAAGAGAGGGAGGGCTGAGAGGCAGGGGACCTACACCACAGTGCCCAGGCTCCTCACTGGAAAGATGCAGCCCCCTCCCCTCTTCTGGGTATGTTGTAGACAGACCGCCGGGACCTGTGCACATCCCTGTGGGTTTGCGGCAGAGACCCCAATTAAGGACCAATGCTGGCTTCCTCACCAGCTTCAGGGGAAGCTGGGTGCTGACTGTGGTGGATTAGAATGAAGAGCGAAAAATGCAGCAGCCTGAGATCCTGCGTATGGAGGAACATTCACAACTGTCTCGCAAGCCAGTATTCTCCAGCACTCAGAGTGTTAGTTCCCAGGTCTCAGATTCATCCTGGATCTGCCTCCTCCTGCCACTGTGTGGTGGGGTCACTCCAGAGGCTGCAGGATCTGCAGTGTTCTCCAAGGAACGTCGCTGGGCACCAGGCATATTGAGCTCCCTGAGCCCCCATCTTGTGGGAGGTCTAGGTTCATCAACTTGTAATCCACACAGCACCCTCGAGCTGAGCATTATTATCACCCCTCTTCCAGATGAGGAACCCAGGGTCTAGAGGACTTGCCAAGTCGAGGGCAGAGCTGGGATCTAAACCCAGGAACGGAGGCACTGGTACAGTGGCCTTCAGCACTCAGCCTCTGGGTCATGGAACTGGGATGTCTTAGAGGGATATTTGTGAGGGACGGGCCTCTCCTAGCAGAGTTTCCCACTATGCCCGGTTGTGGACTGCTGAGGTCTTGGTCAGACAAAGGCACAGCCTCAACTTACCTCCTCCACATGGTCGTCTGAAAACCTGTACCAGCAACGCTTCTCAAAGGACATTATGTCTGCCACGTAATGCCCGCCAGTGAGGTCACCGAAATGGTGACACACTGCGAAGAGGTTGTAACAATTCTTTTCCTGGAGAGAGATACAGCCAGCAAGGTCTGAGCCCAGAGGCTCCATAGGGGCTGGCTACCCCACCCCAGCAAACCCAAGAACTTCACTGCCTTGCAGCATTACATATCCTTCCTAGGCCCACGGTCCGCCCACCCTGCACCAAAATTGCAGATCCTGCTTCAGTCCCTTCAGGGTGATAATTCAAAGTCTGCCCTGGGGAGAGCAACAGGGCTGGCTAATGATCACACGGTAGCTCACAGGATTTTCAGACAGCTGAACCTCAATCAGCTGGTACCTTCCATTTGTTAATACATGTAAGGGACGTCTGCTTTTGCTGAACCTGCAGAAGGTAGTAAAAACTGTAGCTCCCACCATAACAACAAGAAACCATGAGTCAACTAAAACATCGTAATTTTCTCTGAAGCCATTGAAGAGCTCTGGATGCAAGGAGCCTGAGTGACCTAGATTCTGGCAAGAAGAGTCTAGTGCCGGTGGTTGGAGGAGACAGCCTGCCATGGATGGAGAGGCTGGTTGGGGAGAAGTAAGTGGAACTTTTGACAACCAAGTAGAAAGCCACAAAGAATTGGAGCCTGAAATACTAATAGTTCCCACCCACCAATTCTCCCATAGAGGCCTTTGTGGAGCTAGCAGAGGCTAGGGGAGGGACAGGAAAGCAGCGAGAGACAGAGATCTCCTCATTTGTGCTACTTAGCCCCAAAGTCCTGGTGGAAGGAGCAGGTGACCTCACTCAAGACATCTGAAATCAGAGATGAAATGAAGTTAAAGCTGTAATCTAACCTACCCACTCTTAACTGGATTGAATGTTTCAGCTGCTCACCCTACTGCCTGAGAGAAAGCCTCACTGGTAGAGTACATAATCTCTACTACTGTGTCTACAGTTCATTTATACATGATATCTGTTTTAAGATAAAACATGTAAAGAGTCAGAAAAATGTAACTCAAAATCAAGAAAAAACCATCAAAAGAAGTAGACCCACAGATGATCTGCCAACATTTTCATTAGCAGTTGGGCTCATAACCGCTGTGCTGCCAGGGCTCCAGGTAAGAAATCTACCACTGAACCACCACTGCTTTCCTGAAATCAAGAAAAAAAACTGTGAAAAGAAGTAGACCCACAGATGACCCAGACGTAGCAGCCAAGGACTTTGAAATAACTACTGCAAATATGTTAAAGAATTTAGAGGACACGATGGACAAAAAGGGCTGAACAGCTGGGGAATTTCAGTAGAGAAATGGAAGCTGTAAAAAAGAAGCAAATGGAATTCTAGAGCTGAAAAAATATAATATCTGAAATGGAGAATTCATTGAATGGATCTAAAAGCAGAGTAGACATGGCAGAAGAAAGCATCTGTGAACTCACATTCAGGTCAACAAACATTATCCAAATGGACACCAGAGAGACAGAGAGAGAGAAGAAAGCAAATAGAACAGAGTATCAGAGACCTATGGGACAACATTAAACAACTGAAGTTCCAGAAAGACCCACATAAACAAGAAGCTCAGAAACCCCCAAGCAAGATAAATGCAACAAGACCACAACTAATTATATCATAGTCAAACTGCTAAAAGCCAAAGATAAAGAAAAACCACTTAAAAGCAGTCTGAGAAAAAGACAAAATACATTCAATGGAACACTATGACTGAAGACTTTTTATCGAAAACAATGAATTTCAGGAGACAATGGAATGTCATGTTTGAAGTGCCTACGTATATAAATAAATAAATGAGTCACCCTAGAATTACATGTTCAGTGAAAATATCCTTCAAAATTAAGGCAAACAAAGACATTGTCATGGGTGCTGTGCTGCCCGGATACTCCACCTAGTTCTGAAGGGTTTAATCCCCCAGCTTCTAGGAAAGTTGTCAGCAGAGAGCACTCCTGAAATTGCTATGGTTAAAGAGAACTTCCTCGATCCTTGTCATAGCCTATTCTGAGCAGCCCACAACCTGTGACCGATTAATGCAAAGGTATAAGCCTAACCCCTGACCCTAACCCAGGACAACTCTACAGTGGCATCCCAGCTTTATAAGTCTCTGTTGGCATCTTCGAGGAGCCATGGTGGTGCAGTGGTCAAGCACTCAGCTGCTAACCGAAAGGTCAGTGGTTCCAACTCACTGGCTGCTCCACAGGAGAAACGTGGCAGTCTGCCTCTGTAAAGATTACGGCTTTGGAAACCCTATGGAGCAGTTCTACTCTGTCCTATAGGGTCACTATGAGTTGGAATTGACTCTCCTGCAGTAGGTTTTGGGTTGGTATTTTCAGACAAACCAAGGCTGAGATAACTCAGTGTCACCAGATCTGCATCATAACAATAAAGCAAGATCTTTAGGTAAGGCAAATGGTCCCCCATGAAATCCGTGCTCTGCAGGAAGGAAAGAAGAGCACCAGAAATGGTAACTGTGGGCAAAGACTACTTTTTGAAACTTAACAGTGCTTAAAACAAAAATAATAAACATGTATTGTCGATTATAAATATGGTACAACAATAACACAAAGGATAGAAAAGGGTAAAAGAGAACCTCATTGTTGGATGATTCTTGCACTGTACATGATAATATTAATTCAAGGTATAATGTAGTAAGCTGAGAATACATATTATAATCTCCAGAGCAGGGAATGGCAAATTATGACCCATGGGCCAAATCTCAGCCACCACTTATTTTTGTAAATAAAGTTTTATTGGAATATAGTCATGCCAATTCACTCACATATTGTCTATGGCTGCTTCATTGCTACAACAGCAGAGTTGAAGTGGACTCTATGGTCCACAAAGCCTAAAATATTTATGATTTGGCCCTTTATAGAAAATAATTGCAGATCCATACTTTATGGCAAATACTCAAAAAATAATACAAGGAGGCATTGCTAGAAAGCTAATGTTGTTAGCTGTTGCAGAGTCAGCCCTGACTCATAGTGATCCCTTGCACAACTGAACAAAATGCTGCCCAGTCCCACACCATCCTTATGATGGGTTGTGGATTGGACCGTTGTGATCCATAGGGTTTTCACTGGCTGATTTTCAGTACAGGCCATAAAACGGAATGCCAAAACCACTTGATCAATTTATAAAGTGGGGGTGGGGGGTGGGCGTGGAGCAAGAAAAGAGAAACAAAGGGAAAAAGAATAGATGATACAAATAAAACCAAATAGCAAGATGGTAGAGAAGAATTCAACTATATCACTATTTACATTAAACGTAAATGGTCTAAAACTTACTCCAAGACAAGCAGCGTAAGCCTGGAGGAAAAAAACATGACCTGACGATACCCTGTTTATAAGGATACTGGCTGACTTTGCCAGTTCTTTCATGCCTTTATGTTTATATTCCACATAGAACTATCAGACAGAATTCACTTTTCTCATCTGTTTCTTTCTTCCTCCTATAGAATGTAAGCTCCAGAAAGGCAAGCATTTTGACAGTCCTGCTCTCTGCTGTACCCTCTGAACCTAAAGGGTGCTGTCCACCCAAGAGGAACTGAATAATATTTGTTCAATGAATGAATGATGTCATAAAGTAGCTGTAGGAACACTGAGGTGAGTCAGACAAGTCCCTGCTATGGAAGAACTCAGTCTGGTGGGAGACAGAGGACAGATGCTGCAGGTATGCCCTACAATGCGGTCAGTTCTGAGGGGCCCCTCAGCCTGGCCCTTCATCTTACGCTGGATGCAGCAACAGCCACCGAACTCCTCTCCCCTCTCCCTCCTGTCCCCTACAGTTCATTCTTCACACAAAAGTGTAAATCCAGCCATAACACCCACCTGCTCACCTTCTCCAATGGCTTCCATGGCACCTGGGGAAATCCAGACCCTTCTCTACTACCCACAAAGCCCTGGGGGTTTGGCCACAGCCTTGCTGCTCAACTCCCAGCCTTGCTGCTCAACTCCCGTCACTCCCCTCCTCAGCTCCTCCCTTTAGTCCCACGTGGTTTCTGGGTCCCTCCCTGTGCCACTTCCCCCAGGTTCTCTGTGTGGTTGGCTCCATCCTTTTCCTCTGGTTTTGGCTCAAATACCACCTGCTGAGATGGCCAGAGAGGCCATCCTGGTGAGTGTGGACCAACCATTGTCAACAGGCTGTTCCCACTGCCGTCTTATCTCCTCACAGCACTGGGCACCTTCAGAATTATCTATCTGTTGACTGCTCTTGTCTCCCACCACTAGACATGAGCTCTGTGAGGTGGGACAGAGGCTTTCTACTTGTTCACACCCGTATTCCCGGTGCCTGGCACAGTGCCTGGGGCACAGACGGGGCTCAGTGGATGTTTGCTGAATGGAAGGATTCACGAACAAATGAATAAATGAATGAATGCAGAGGAAGGAAGCTCTCAGTCAAGGAGAGGAAGAAGTCAAGGATGATACCCAGGTCTCCAGGGCCTCAGCCCCTAACCTAGCAGGGCCAGGGGTTGTATGGGAACCCTGACCCCTGGGCTCTCAGGCAAGAGGCCCCGAGCTGAGAGCCTGGGTGACCGAACTGGGTTTCCAGCTGAGACTTCCACCCCATGTCTGGATGATGAGTCTGTCCTCCTTGGGGAGCCCTGTCTTACCCTCGACGATCTGCTCCTGCCTAAAGCCCAGCCCCAGACAAGCAGCAGTTAGAATGGGGTGGAGGGGTGCTGCTGGAGAGTGGTGAGGGCTGACCCGAGAGGGGAACCTAGCTAAGCAAGGTCAGCACTTGAGCTTGGCATGGGGACATCAGGCACCACTGGGCAGCCCAGGGACCCTCCTGCCTCCTCCCTCCTGTCCCTGAGACCAGGGCTGGAGGCGGGGGGGTGGGGGTGGGGGGGATGGCCCTCATTGGTGCCTTGCTTTCATTGGGCAGGATAGGCCTTTCTGCAGATAAGATTTAAATTGTTGTCAAGACCCCTTTGTGCCTGTGGAGGGAGATGCATCTCTCTGACCCTCTAGAGAAGCTGGCAGCCACAGAGGCAGAGAGGGTTCCAGGCCAGCTCCCTTCCCTCGGCCTGTGGGTGGATGCTGGCCCCTAGGGCTCTGGCCAGGAGGGTAACCAGACGGAAGAGCAGCGTGAGGTCCAGGGGATGGGGCCTTACTGGGAACGGCAGAATCAGCTTCTCCGACACAGTCACTTTGTTCTTCAGCTTCCAGAAAGCCCCACGGTAGAAGGTGAAACGCTCCAGGAAGATGACCAGCACTGAGGGCAGGGCTCGCAGGCAGAGTTCCTGCAAATGCAGCAGTAGCACGTTTGCACCACCGGCCCATATCCCAGATCCCCTGGCCTCCCTGGGCAGGTGTGGCCAGCCCTGGTCCTCCCACCCTGCTGCATCAGGCTTCCCAACTGCACCAGGCTGGGCCTGGGGCCCTCCTGGCCTGTCCCTCCACAGGTGAAGGCATGAGAAGCCTGGGCTCTTCCTTTCTGGGTGCAGACCAGGGCTGCAGGGCAGGCTACCTGGGCTTTCTTTCTTCAGGAACGCCTGTAAGGACTGCCCAACTCATGAATGTGCTTCCTGATTGGGGGCAGTCAAGACACCCCTTGGCTTCAGAGCCCATACATCCCAGGGCAGGGAGCGCTGTACCTCAACCCCACCGTCTGCCCCAGGGTCCACAGGCTCCCTCCCAGCAGCACCGTCCTCAGCCTGCCCATCCTTCCCAGCTAGACGCAGGCTCTCTCTCTGTGCCTGGGTCCAGCGTGGGGCCTGCAGGCGTGTTTGATGAGTGACTGAGTGGGAATGGAGCAGGCGGGTGTGGGTGGAGCCTTGGCCTGGGGCTTGAGGGCATCTGGGGGCCGGTACCCACACCCCTCACATTCGTGCCAGACAGTAGGAGTCCATCACATCAACCCCAGGCTCTTCCTGGGGCCAGAAGGCCTCAGGATCGTTCTCCACGCAGCGCCCGAGAGCCTCCACCAGCTGACCAGGCTTTGGAAGAGCTCGGCTCGCAGGCTGGGAGAGGGGAGCCGCTCCCCGGTGACCCGGGCCCGCTGGAGCTCCGGCTGGGGCTCCAACTAGGGCTCCAGGCAGCTTCCCAAGGGGCGCAGAGGCACTGCGGGGCCTTCCGTCTGCTGGGCCGGCCCCGACGGTGCAGAGCTCTAGGCTCACTCCGGGGTCTGCCGGCAGCGAGTTCTCGACGCACACTGGGTACCCGCGGAATTGGCACTCACAGAGCTGGCGTCCTCTTTACGGTCACACATCTCGCAGAAATACTGGTTGTCACCAGTGACCTGCTCCTTCCGGAAGAGCGCCTGCACCGCCTCGGCCTGCGGGGGACAGTGAGGGTACACCACCTGCCCCCCCCGCGTGGCAGGCCCGGGGAGCCTGGCAGCCAAGGGGCTGCCGGTCTGGTGGGGGCACCTCCCAAGGCCCTGTGGGCCATGACTATACCCCAGGGGCTCTTTCTGGGCCCCCCAGATCAGCAGAAGACCATAGCCACACACATCTTCTTGGGGGCTGGAAAGGACCTCCCACAGGGAGCCTGGCCGGACCCTGGGGCTGAGGCTGGACTTGGAGTCATAGGCTCCCCAGGGGAGCTGGCATCCCACAGGGAAGGGTCCCCTTGCAAGACCTCTGTCTGTGGCAGCGTCCCCACCAGGCCATGCTGCCTGTGGGAGCCCTCAGCACAGGAAGAGAGGCGGGCTGGGCGCAGGAGGGGTGGCCTTACCACGGAGCACACGGACTCCTCGGGGCCTGGCAGCACCGTCACCATGAGGAACAGCCGTGCCTCCTCCAGCCGTGTCTCGTCCTTACAGACCTGACACTGGATGACACGCTCCGTGAGCATCTGGAATGCCTGGAAGACAGCGTCCACCTGAGTCTGGGGGCAGCAGCCAGCTGTGGACACCCCTTGAGCAGGTGCAGTGGGTCCGGGGTCGCAGGGAAGAGGGCACCGTCCCCGTGTCCCTGTGGGTCACCTGATTCCACCAGACCTCATGCCTGGAGGCCAGATGCAGCCTCTGCCCACTGGGCAGCCCACCCCCGCACTCTGAGCTGGTCTTGTCCAGCAAAGGTGTGTGAACGAGAGGCCAGCTGGGGGAGTCCTCACCCACGTCCTCGTGGCTGCCTGTCAGCTGGCCCCACCCTCCTCACCCCCTCAACAGCCCCTGCCAGCTCTGAGTGGGGCTTTGCTCCCGGTCTCAGGCAATGGCCCCCCTCCCTCCCCACTCCCAGACAATGGCTCCTCCCTCCCCACTGCCAGGCAAGGGTCCCTCTAGAAGGCACATGGATGGTCAGCCCCCAGCACAGCCTCCTTCAGCGCCTCTCCCTGCCCACCTGGGCACAGGCCTCTGAGCCTGGCAGCAGGGACTGGCCCTTCCGCCTCCCCCACGTGCAGCTCTGCGCCAGCACTGGCCCCCCAGGTCCTGCCTCCCAACATCTATGTCCAGGCAGGACGGTCACTCCCTGTGTTCCAGGGAGGAATCTGGGCCCGTCCTGTGGGCTCCCAACTCCTCCTCTTGTGTATTTGTCCCGGGGCACCTGGCTCCCCCACTCCGCCCCGCGCCCCCACCTAGCACAAAGCCCCCGGTGGCTGCTGCATGTGCCCCCTTCATGCTAGCCCTCTGACTAGGGAACACTGTGTCTTACCTGTTCTAGGCTCCACCCAGCCTCTCCCCAACAAGTGAGGGCTACCCCACCCCACCCCGCCCCTCCCCCCACAGGTGAGGGCCACCCTCTCCACCTGCCTCCCCCCAACCCCAGAAGGTTCTTCTTTGGAATCCTTTTCCTCCAGGGCGCTGGGCAGGGGCTTCAGCCCCCATGGGGCACATTTTCCTGCCCTGGTTTCCTCAGAGCGCTCATGGTCCTCGGGTAAGGGGATGGTGAAGCTGGGTACAGCCGAGCAGCAGGGTACCCCCACTCCCAGGGGCGTCTCACCTGCCTCAGCTCCACTTTCTCCACAGCCATCCTTGTCAGCAGGGTCTGGAAGCATTCCAGGACATCCTGCTGCTCGTACACTGTGCTCGGGGTGGGGGCGGGAAGATAACAGAGGACATGGTCCCGGCTGAGACTCCTGAGCCCTGCCTGCCCCGCCTCCTCCATCCGTCTCCCCACCACCCCATGTTCCCACCCTGCAGCCCAACCAGGGAAAAAGGGGCACGGGGAGGTGGGGAGGAGGAAGGAGGAGAGAGGTCAAAGGTGACCAGTCTCCCCTTGATTCCCCTCCCCAGCAAGATACGGGGTCGGGGATGCTGCTCCCAGCCCCGCTGCCTGGGGCCCCTGCTTCTGGGGGATCCTGAAGTCTGGCAGTGCTGGAGCACAGCGGTGAGGCGTATGGGCCGGGCAGGGGCCAGGGGCCGCAGGGGAGCAGCCCCACCACTGGGGTCCCAGTCCCCTCTGAGTAGAGCTCTCACCATTTCTCAGCCCCAGGCAGCGGGTGATGGCTCTGGTGGTCACAGGCGCCTGGGCATCCTGCAGGTCCAGGAAGAGCCTCTGCAGCTGTGTGACCAAGCTGGACTCTCCGTGGTCCCTGCAGCTGCAAGGTTCCAGGAAGAGAAAGAGAAACCACTTAGAGCTGGGGCTTCAGAGCCCATAGAGGCTCTGCGACCGGCCAGGCCTGTCTCCTCCAAACCAAGCAAGGCCTGGCCTCCCCCGGCCTCTGACTCTCAGGGCCCAGACCACACGGTGGCAATCAGTCAGGGAAGGGCCCCTTCTCTCTCCAGGCTGCAGGAGGTGATGCAGCACGCGCCCATGCCCCAGAGCAGAGCAGAGCAGGAGGGAGCTGCAGGGGGAGGGGGGAGGCAGTCTGGGAGGTGAATGTTTGGAAACCTCCGGCCTGGGGGCCAGGCCCACCTAACAACCACCCTCATCCCAGCTCCAAAGTCAGCCCCTCTCCCAGCAGCCTCTGCTTGGCCCCAAACCACCCCTCCCTCCTAGGGCTGGAGAGGCCAGGGTTACAGGGTTACAATCTGCTGCCCTCAATCTAACCCACTGCCACTGAGTCAATTCTGACTCATGGTGACCCTATAGGATAGAGTAGATCGGCCCCATAGGGCTTCCAAGGCTATAATCTTTACAGAAGCAGACTGCTACGTCTTTCTTCCTTGGATCTGCTGGTGGCTTCAAGCAATCCACCTTTCAGTTAGCAGCCGAGCCCTTAACCACTGTGCCACCAGGGCTGTACCCCTTCCAAGACCCCATAAAGCAGATGTGCCAGGTGGGGCTGGAGGCTGGGGCCAGCGGGGCTTCTCCTCCAGCCCACTCCCCTGTGGAGGCCTGACCTTCGGCAGGGGCCCCCACGACCACTCACGGTCACTCACAGGGCTGGCTGGGCAGCAGGCAACTCCAGCTCAAGGACAGCTTTGCGGAACTCCGGTGTGAAGAAGAGGCATTGCAGGATGCTGTTCAGGTAGCAGGTAGCACCCTGGTTGACCAGACCTATGGGTGCTGAGAGGGGCCCCACAGAAGAGAGATCAGCTGGTTGGCCGGGAAGATGGCAGGAGCTGAGGCACAGGGCAGATGGCAGGGGACAGGGCTGATGGTCAGGATGGACGGGTAATGGGGGCCAGGGGCCAACCAGGTGACGTGAACTCAGGAATTGGAGCAGAAGGCTAGATGTTGGTGGCTGTGGGGGGGTGGGTCAGAGGGCCGTGGGGGCCGGGGGATGGGGGCAGAGTGCAGAAAGGCTGGGGGCAGGGGCAGTGGGGCAGGTGGTGGGGGCCGAGGGCAGAGAGCTCTACCTCTCTCCCTCAGCCTGGGCGTGTGCCCTGCGGCTGGGGTGCGCACAGAGGGCGCCAGAGGTGCTGGGTTTGGAGCCTCAAGCGGCCTCGGAGGGTCTCTGGAGGCCTCTTCCTGGCCCGCTCCCCAGCTGGAAAGGGTAAACGTAGGCAAGCACGGGAGGCTGCGCGTTTGACCCATCAGAGAACCAATCCTCCACGGAGCAGACAAGGCGGCCCAAATTCCTAGTGAGGAGGGTGAGTGAGGCGCGGGACCTGCTGACCCGCCCCGCCCTCCCTGGGCCACTTACGCTTCCTGGTGCCGCGCGTGCTCCTTCCCCTGCGCCTCCAGAAAGACAAGGAGACGCTGAGCATTGCTATCAGGGGGATGCTCAGGAGGAGTAGCCGTCTCCCCCAAGTGCCCAGGCCACATAAGAGCCCCTGGTCTGGGAGCAGACAGCGCGCGAGGCCGTCACCAGGACTCTCCATGGATTCCTCCTTGGACACCAGCCAGCCTGCCGCAGCCGCAGCCTCATGCTTTCGGTTTCCAGCAAGGGAGGGTGTGGCTGGGGAGGGGCGGAAGGCCCTCAAGGCTCTGTCTCTTCCTCCTTGGCCCTGGGGTGTCGCGTTTGGGAGTGGACGGGGCGGTGACAGCCACACGCCCCCACAGCCTCCCCACCCCCACCTGGCCAGAGGAAGAGGTCCAGGGGACGCAGCACCCGCAGGACCAAGCCAAGATCTCCAAACAGTCATGGGGATCACGTTAGAAAAGGGGGGCCTCCAGATTCTTTTCCCCACCCACCCACCCTCCCGCTGGCCCCAGAGGGCAGAGTAGGCTCCCCTAGAGCCACACCTGAACACCCAGCCTAATGCTGCCTTGCCAGGCCTGATGCCTCACTTTACCCTTAGGTCTCCCCAGGGGAGGGGGCCCACCTCCTTCCGTGTTGTGTGCAGCTTTGTATCCTTCTTGTGTGCAAAGGGTGGTGCATACAGCAGGCACCTAATAATTGCTTGCCAGCTGGTGCAGCCTGCCCGGGGCAGCAGTGTGCTCCCTTGGTGCCTGACAGTCTGCCATCAAGCCCGGAGATGGGGCCAGTCAGACTAATTAGCTTTCTTTCGATCACGTGCCAGATCGCCTGTGGGGTGGAGCCAGGCAGCTCAGGGGCCTGGGCCAGGCCATCTCCTCACTCCAGTGTGGGAGCCCCCAGGGGTCTAGAGGTGGGTGGGGTATTAAAAACCAGGGCGGGGAGGGTGGCCTGCCAGGGGATGGCCATAAACAGAGGGCTGAGGGCCTGGGTGCTGGGGGCCGGGGGCCAGGTGGGCCAGAGCTGGTCAGCAGAGCTCGCGGGTGGAGGCGGCAGGCTGGGGCACCAGTGCCTGAGGGGCTAGGGGCACAGAATGGGCTGGAGGAGGGGCGAGTCTATGTCCACATGCAGCCCCACGGCTGCCTCCTGCACTGCTCCACCTGAGAAGGGCCAGTGACTCTCCTTCCCCATCCCTTATCCCTCCCCATCGCCTGTCCCTCCTCCCCCAGGAGAACCTGCGAGCAGCCAGAGGGGCTGACTGGACCTCCCGGCCGGGTCCTTTGCCAAGCCAGGCATTTCAAATCCTCTACTCCCAGCAGAGATGAGAGAAGACCTGACTGATGTCGGAAATAAGGCTGGGTGCCAGGTCACGGGTGACTCTTGGTATCTAATCCTGACTCCTTTAACCCCCCCTTACGTATGTGAACAAGGCTTCTCAGTGTCTGCGACTATAGAATGAAAAATAGAAATTAAAAGACAGAAATACGATGCAGCGCCTGATTTCCTTTTTGCAGGAACTAACAACTGTGGACCCAGGAGTGGATGGAACCTGTAGCCCCGTTATTTCCGTTAGGGGGCGCTCTTCCAATGCTATTCTACTTTTGCGTCTAATAATTATCACAATTTGCAGTATTATTGTGCACTGATAATTCAATCTGGAAAAAAATTTTCAACACACGGAGTCCTATGACCACAAGAAAAAGATTTAAAATGTGTATATATAAATATCAATCTATATACTAGAGACTTACAGAATCATCAAACATCTTTCAAGAGTAAGGATACATTCCATTAGGATAAAATGATAAAATTCTTTGGGGAAAGTAGAATAGAAACAGGAATCACAGACTGAAAAGGAACAGAGTAAAATTCCCAACAATTAAACAAGATGTTGTTCTTTTATTGCTTTGTTCTGACTGACTGCCGAGGGTGTTATCAAGGAGCTGTGGCGTTTAGACTCCCTTGGTATACTTAAGGGAGTCTCTGGGTGATGCAAATGATGAATGCGATCCGCTGCTAACTGCAAGGTTGGAGGTTCGAGTCCACCTAGAGGCACCTCGGAAGAAAGGCCTGGCAATCTACTTCAGAAAAATTAGCCAGTGGAAACCCTATGGAGCACAATTCTACTCTGACACATACAGGATCACCAGGAGTCAGGGTTGACTCCAGGGCAACTGGTTTGGTTTGGGTTTTGGTACACTTAAAAGAGTGATGTGGCAGTTTTATTTAAAACTATGAGCATGTGTCATGTACCAAAGTTTTAAGAGGCGGCTCTAACTCATGGAAGAGATCGATTTTCAAGTCCTGCTCTCCCTCTCTCTATGGGTGAGTGTTTTGAGGCTGATGGAGGCCAAACATCCCCCAGCCCAGCTCCCTGTGCCTGACTCCACAGCACCACCTCCTGGGCAAACGCAGTGACTTCCCAATGAAGACTTTTTCTAGGTCCCCAAATGGGCCTGGGCAGTCCAGCAGGCGTGTCCTTCTGCTGGAGGCTGGTGGCCCTGGTCCATGCAGGCCAGAGGGAAGAAGGGAATGTTGGATTCTGGCAGAGGTGGGTCTGTGGAGGGACTGGGACGGCCCAGGCTGCACAGTGGAGCTGATCCCAGGAGGAAGCACCGTGCAGGAGAGGTCTGGGCAGAGGTGCAGGACAGGTGCTGGGACAATGGTCACTGGAAGGGTCGGAGGGTCAGTGGGGACAGAGATGGAGCTGCCCTCATGAGTGTGTGGGTGCAGGGGAGTCTGTTCACAACGGGGGCAGGTTTGAATGTCTTGCTTCTGTGACACTCCAGTGGAAGAAATATCAGGAACTC